AATGGTGTCAAGACTCAAGAGACTAAAACAATTATTTTATTACCTATTTAATTCGCGTTTTTGACACCACTTGGGGTTAGGGGTACCAAATTTTGGGCTCTAAAACTCCAATTTTTTTGGCCAATTTTTTATTTTTTCATGCTGATTTGGAGGCCATTAAAGCATTTGACCCAGTCAAAAAAGTTTCAGTTGTATATCTTTGACGGTTTTAGCAGAAATTCGCGTTAAAGTTGATGCCGTGGTGTCACTAAAATGGCACAGATAAATATATATATCTTACTATATATAAAGCGAGACGATATATATATATATCTGTGCCATTTTACTGACACCACGGCATCAACTTTAACGCAACTTTCCGCAAAAACCGTAAAAGATATACAACTGAAACTTTTTTGACTGGGTCAAATGCTTTAAATAAATAATAATAATAAAGGCCTTCAAATCAGCATGAAAAAATAAAAAATTGGCCAAGGAATAATAATTTTAGTGCCCAAAATTTGGACTCCCAAGTGGTGTCAAAAACGCGAATTAAATAGGTAATAATTATTTTAGTCTCTCGAGTCTTGACACCACTTTAGGGTTAGACGGGTTCCTGCTAGTATATATATAATATATATCGTCTCGCTTTATATATAGTAAGATAGATTACTACGGCCAGGTAGCGTAGTTGGTTGATCATCGGATTTGTAATCGTAAGATTGCGAGTTCGAATCCCACTGCCTGCCTAGTCGTGGGGTGAGCGTCGTTGACGCTCTGCTAAGGATCCCGAGTGGTCTATGTAGCCCCACGGTTCACTCAGCCGAATGCTCGAGAAATCGGGTGTGAGGGTTAAATGAGGAGCTGTGCTTGATCAACACAGCGAAGCCTCGGGCGAAGAAAGTGTGGCATAGTGCCTTAACCGTTGCTGGCCTTAGGAACGATCCTTCGGCTTCTTGTAAAGCTCTTCCTTGAAAGTGCTGGTTTACATTGTAATGCAGGTAATGCCGAAGTAAAATAACAAAGGTGGTCGACTCATTCGATGGCCTTGTTGCGTCGCAACGAATCCTCATAAGATAAGATAAGACTACATCTGGTCTCAGTGGTATTACACTAATGTAATGTCTAACAATAACGTTTATAAGTGCTAAAATTTCGAACTAGCGGACCATATTCGGAGGAGAAATTTGGGGCAGTTTTTTGCTTGGAAATACTGATTTAATCGAATTTTAACCACAAAATGACTCCCAATAATATTCTTATGGAGTGTGTGGATAAATATTAAATATTTAAAATAATACAGGTTTGACTATAAAGTTGCGTCAATAATCATGTAAAGAATAATAGATAACCTACAATCTTCGTTTGGTAAACCAATTTGGTATCTTTCCTCACATGTGTAACCAAAATTACTCAATAATCAATATGTAAAAGAAAAATATCCTACAATCTCTGTTTTATTAGTGAACTTGAATATCTTGCAACTTGTTAAGACCACATTAAAATGCTTTGATATAGACTTTACATCATGCCGGATGTACCTTCAAGAACTTATAGCAATCATGTATCTAAAAGAGAATGATGTAGAGGGGGATGATTAGTAGTTAGAAATCGGATCGATGTAGCAGAAAAAAGCAAACCCTAGCAAAGAGTGCAAGTTTTTTTATAACCAAATTCAGACAATTGTCTCGCCCATCGCCTGACATTTTAGGGTTTTTAACCCCTATCACCCATGAACCGGGTGCTTCCGGATTTATACCGAAACCCATATTGGAAGAAAACACCCGATCTACAACATCAAAGCACATTTTAATAACTTGAGCACAAAACTGGTCAAAAAAAGACCAAAGTTGTTGCCCAATTTGGTATTTTTCCTCACGCGTGTAGTCAAAATGACCGATTTTTGTCAATATCTTAACAAATAAGCATTAAAGGGCTTATATTGCTCTATAAGTTGTATATAAATGTGATGTTTGCGCTCATTTTAAGCTAAAATTCAAGTCTCTACGATCTTCCTAGTTCAAGTTACCAAAATTCAGTCCCATTTTTGGTTCGCTGAACCAAAAAACAGTTTTTTGTCAATATCTATAAAACAAAGCACTGGAGACCTTATGTTGCTTTATAAGTTGTATATAAATATGGCTATTGCGGTAATTTTAAGCTAAAATTGAAGTCTCTATGACCTTCAGGAGCCGAAATACGAAAATCTCGTATACGCGACTGAGGGTAATTTAGAAAATTTGCCCTGTAGGGTTGTCTCTAGCGAAAGAAATTGTGCACCCACACGATTTTGGTTAAGAATGACCTAACAAACAACCCTGTGTTGTCAGAAATAGTACACATCGAAGTGCACACTCAACTATTCCCTGCTACTAGAGTAATTGAGTTTTTTTACATTGCAGTAGCTAGACAGCAACAAATTAGAACGTTTTTCAATCATACTGTCGAGATTAACTCTGCTCAACAGCATTCTGTTCGAAAATCAACTTAAGAGTGTGTCAGTTTTCAGTAAAAAGTCATCTTTAGGTCAAATTCATCACGATTAAAAATTCGAAAGAAATGACTCTTTGCTGAATATTGGCACTATACAATTGATGTCTGACAGCATAAGCAGGTTCATCAAGATGATTCTTTACAAAATCTAACGATATTGTGTGTTCTAATTCAGCAAAAACTCATTTTATAAATAATATTTTTAGCTTAAAATCTTCATAGAAATGACTTTTTGCTGATTATTGGCACGATAAAGTAGATTTCTGACAACAATATCATGTTCATCATGGAAATTTGGGACATACTATTGATGTTTGAAGTTCATTGTGCCAGTTTTAAGTTAGTTATAGCAGGTTATCACAACACTGCTTACAAAGCACAAATTTTATGTGATTTACCATTGGTATATGCCTAGAAAAAGAAGTCATTTTAAGCTGAATAATGGCACACAGTGCAACAAAATTGTGCCACATTAAACAAAAAAGGCACACCGCTCCCTCAAACAATATTCTGAACTAAAAGGAGTGCCATTTAGCAGTAAGAATGACTATTTCTGTCAAATAAGTCACTTTTTACTGATTTTCAGGACACATTTGTTGTCTAAATTTTCAGGATATACCTAAACTAAGATTCGTATCTGCAACATAAACAATTTGGTGGTTTGAGATGATTAATAATGCTGATATTGACTTACAATAGTTGGTAATTCCCACGCTGGCTGCAGCAGTCACTACAGCTGATTAGTGGCACTCTAATATTATTATCTGTTTTTGACCCCTTTATGAACACATTACTTTTCGAAATAGATGCTTAAACTAACACTTGTACACCCATGGATCAAGAAATAGACAACTTTTGTCTTTTTACATCATTTATCTATATGACTGATATGCTGAATTTGGGCACTCGGGACATAATTGAGTGTAAGCAGTACAGAGTTCAAGCCGTCTTTTAACTGATTAATGGCACCTTCAATCTAAAAGTCAATAAGGTGACTGAAAAAGAGAACTGAAATTTCGATACTTATTTCATCAATTAAAAAAAGATAAATTTCAAGCTGATACATGTGTGACTTTTTGCTGATGGCTCGCACATAGACATGTAAGAATAAGTTTAAAGACACAACCAAACATTATCTTATCCAGAAAATAGCACAGTCACGCCTTGATCTTTTTAATATTTTGACAAGAACCATCAATAGAGCAGTCGTATTCAGATATAAAAATGACTTTTTGCTGGATTCTGTCACTTACTGGAATTGCTAATAATGACTAAAATGCTGAAAACAGTTACTCGCTCCAATCTACTAGTGTTATGTGAACAATATTTGAACAAAATATGGCGAAATCAATGGAATTAGGTAATTGGAGGTTAAAATGGTTTGCTGATTTTTGGCACTCAGTTTAATTGCTCATAAGTCATATTCTGCTTGAGCCTGGCACTTCGTTTTTTCAAATCACAACTGCTGAATATTTTCACTTCATCCTATGTACAAATGTATGGTTGCACTTTAAAAAGCATTGCGACTTTTTCCTCATTTTGTGCACTCTACTTTGAAAAAGGTGAAATCAGCAACTCACCACACTTAAAAAAAACGTGTCCTTAATAGATGTCAAAATTAAGCCACTATCGTCAAAAACGCTATTATTTTTGTTTACCAATATCCTCAAACTCAAATGAACGTGTCCATTATATAGGGTAATTGTTATATTATGTGTATATTGTTTGAATAATTCTTTCGATATTTGAACAAGTTTTAGGAATACAAACGAATTAAACCTTTGCTGAAACCTTTGCTGCATTTTGCAAGTCATTATGCATAATTAAATTACCCATGTTCGTATCCGGAGCTTGGCTTATATAATGCAGCAATTTCATTGGACAAGAGCAACTGTGTCATGAGGTTATTTGCTTTTGGCGACAAATGGCTACAAATGGCAGCGTTTGATCGAAGACCTGGTTTCAGCACCCCTGTGAGTAGCTTTTGATGAGGTGCCTCGAAAATGATCTTAAACGATTCCCTGTTCAATGTTGGTCGTAGAACGCCAACTTAGTGCAGAATGAAGCAAGTTATAAACATATTATTATTATATTAAATCGTAATTTGTAGGTATCAAATTGGATGTGCTTTCGGTAGAGATATAACCTGCGCCTACAATAAAACTTCATATACGGAGCCACTTGGGGAAACGAAAAGTGTGCAAATTATTTAAATACAAAGGCAGGTCACTCCTAAAGTTTGAAACGGTCTGAGGTGCTTACTTCCTTTTCTGCAACATTGAGCGACTCTGTGACAAGGCACTATTATACTACAAAAGAATAAGATTTGACTTATTGAGAACAAAAATTATTGCCCTTAGAGGAGAAAGAGGGAAGAAAAGTGGCAGTGCAGTCAAAATAGCAGTTTTAGATATAAATTTAGAGCCAGTGCATTGATTGTCATTTGGCTACTTTTACTGTAAAGGTTTATTTAAAATGTTCCTCAGTTACTCAGATTTTTTCCGTTCACCCTTTTGTAAAAAGGTAATAGTGAAAGGTTACGAATGGACGTTTTTGCAGAAAAACGTGGATTTTGGAGAACGAGGTAGGTGGGTTTAAATATGTCGTCAGTCCTTCCTTCCTTCCTTCCGTTAGTTACCATGTCAACTAGCGCTCAGTGCAGCGCGCAAGTATTGCTTGCGGAGATGTAATGTATACATAGCTAATGAATGCGCGGCGCGAGTGTATTTTAATGTATACTTATTAGGTAATAACTTAATAAGCCCAATTTGTACGTGGCATGCGTAGTATAATAAGATAATAGTGTACTGATATGATGTGTATCAATATTATTACTGTGAAGTGAGCTGATTAGAGCCTATTTTTATAGTTATAGTGAATGGAAATCTAGCGTCCGCCAAAACGAAACAACGGGCGCAATTCTTGTTACTTTTAAATAGGGTAATTGTGATATTATCTATATATTGTTTGAATACAACAAACAAGATACAAGGGCAGGTCTCTCCCGAACGTTGGGATGGCCTGAGGTGCTTATCTCCTTTTCAGTAACCCTAAGCCACTCTATGCCTAGGCACTATACTAGCTGTAGGGGGGTTAGTCCTATGAGACAGAGAGTGTGTATCACCAGCCGAAGCTGTACCAAATCACAGCTTGGTAACTGGCCGACTTGCATCCGACCGGATTTGAACTCGGGTCTTCTGCTTGGGAGTTGGGAGGCGATCGTGTTACCACTACACCACCCGGCCGACTACTATCTATTATACTACATGAAACGGTATATATAATAGAGAGGTTCACTTTATCCCAATCCTCACTATCTGCAGCCTTCCAAGTAACATGTCAAGCGTCTTATACATTATATTTGATTGACGATGTCGCAGAGCAATGATCTTGTCTTCAATGCGAAGCAAGAATGATTGTTCGCTCGGCACGTCAAAGCGGCAAAGTCCTCCAAACATTATATGAGCCATTTGGGCCATAAAAATATATATCATATTATCACTTATATAATAGACAGTGCAGAAGTCATACTGAAGAATATTCATTGAATAAGTATTTCATATTTACAGTAAAACAAAATCTTTTGACAGGACCCCTCCCATGTAACCATCAATCACAGATTTCCTGATCATTCAGCTGATTAGATTTGAGAAGTTTGCATACAAGTCCTTACCGCATCCTCTGGGAATGATGACATAAACTGGTCTTGGACCAGTTACAACCTACCAATTAAGAGTCCCTTTAAGCAACCACTGCACCAACAAAGCCCTTAAGCTACCTAAAACAATTGTAAACTTCTAATATGTTTGCCATAGGTTCACGAGAAGCTCTGACCAATTGCAAGATAGAAAAGTGAAACATAATTAAGCTCAATTTCACCATACACAGGGTGGAAAAATGTTATCCTCTGATCCTCTGAACACACAAATGAATTTAGTGATAATATTACGACGTTTTTGGATAAAAAACTCACTCAGATTCTCAATTAAACAGAACTCCTTAAAAAACTGAACAATTTCAGGAAAAATGGCCGCTGATGTCCGTGCAAGACAGATTGATGCAGTGAAACACATGCTCAACCTGAACTCTCCCAAATCAAACAGCACATGGAAAATCCTTGTGTTTGATGAGTATGGTCGAGATATAATTGCCCCGCTTCTAACAGTAAAGGAGCTAAGGGAATGTGGGGTTACTCTAAACCTGCTTGTAGCAGACAAACGAGACCCAATCCCCGATGTCCCAGTTGTGTACTTTGTGATGCCCACAAAACAGAACATTGATCTGATCAGTCAGGACTGCAAAAATCAGATGTATGAGAAATTTTACATCAATTTCATCACAGCTGTTTCTCGGCAGTTGTTGGAGGACTTAGCTCAGGCCACTATTGAGAGTGACACAGTGGCAAGAGTTGAGAAGATTTTTGATCAATATCTTAGTTTTTGTATGCTGGAGCAGAATTTGTTTACTGTTTCAGCCTACGATGCAGAAGCTTGCAGCTATTATGCTTTGAACAGACCTGATGCTAAAGATTCAGATATAGAAAATTGTATCAATGCAATTACTGATTCAGTTTTTTCACTGTTTGTCACTCTTCGAGAGCTGCCTGTGATAAGGTGTCCTAAGGGTAATGCAGCAGAAATAGTTGCTGAACGGTTAGAGAAGAAAATGAGGGATGCTAGAAGAGATCCTAAATCAGGTGAAAGCTCTCATCTAAATATTAATCATTATTCAAATCTAGTCTTCATCATTGTCAAGTTATTATTCTGAAACTTCTTACCACATTACATGCATTAGCTTCTAGTCTATCCAAAATGTTTAGTTGATAACACCCTGCATCAAAACTTTAATCTTTTAATCTAATAATATTTCAGAACTGTTTAAAGACCAAGCAATAACAAGTTTCCAGCGGCCCTTGCTGATACTCTTAGATCGAAACATGGACATCTGTTCTACCTTACATCACACATGGACATACCAAGCCCTGATACATGACTTGTTTAATTTGTACTTGAACCGTTGTAAGGTTGAGGTGGAGGAGAAAGTTAAAAACTATGATCTGGGACCAGATGACTCGTTCTGGGCGAAAAATAAAGGTTTGCAAAAAACTGAGTAAACATTAAACAACTATAACGTTTTTAAAGACAACTTTGTATAGAAGATTTATTAGAATATTATTATATTAGACTATTTTCACAACTACAATTAAATACATTTATTGAGTGCTATGTAACCTGGTAGTAACGTTGAAAAGGACTTTGAGGGGGTCTGTAGTCCCCCGCATAGTATGTTTGTGTTTCACTGATTTGTAAACTGAAGACGTAAATATGTGAAATATTCATAAAATATTCACTTTTTGAATCCTCCTTTCTCCTAATCTAGGGAAGCCGTTTCCGGAAGTAGCTGATGCAGTGCATGTGGAGCTAGAAGCTTGCAGAGCTGCAGAGCAGGAGATTAAGAGGCTGAAAGATGTTATGGGAGGCGGTGATGAGAATGCTAACGATCAGATAGCTAACACTGTGTCTTCTTTGCCAGGTAGGATCGGCTTTTAAAAACCATATCTCCAATGTAAACTATTAACTAGGTCAGAATCAATTTAATTTTAGATGCACTGCACTGAAGAGGAGAGAAAAATGTTTCTTCTTTATTGTTTTGCACAGCTTTAATTGTCAAATTCACTGTCAAATCTTCACTGCCAACGAAATAATTCAAAAATTTAGCTCAATTTATCGTATGATTGTTGTGCTGTGTCGGTACTCTATCAGGCTTTATCATATCAGGTTTGAATGCTACTGTATTTAGATATATTATTTTCTCATTCCCAGAGTTGATGGAGCGGAAGAAAAGAGTAGATATGCACATCAACATAGCAACCGCTCTGTCGGACTGTATACGATCCAGGAACCTCGACAAGTTCTTTGAAGTAGAGGAGAAGATCATGACAAAAACAACTCTCGAGGAAAGTGTCCTTGATGTGAGTCCATGTTATTTGTGTGCTTCAAAACATTTGGTAAAAGCGAAAATTGTATCTCCATTTTGTCCAAAGTTTAGTTAGTCCGGTCCGGTACCGTAAAGAAATAATTCAGCATGACACATTATTAATATCCCCATAATTTACCTTATGCAGCAGTATAAGGTTAATAGGGAGTACGCTTTATTAATTTATTAAATACAATTTCAGACGCTGAAGAACCCAAACGTAGGAACAGCAGAGGACAAACTGAGACTATTTGTAATTTACTACCTAAGTACCTCTGATCTTCCTGACAACGAGTTACAGCAGTATATCGATACTCTTCAGGTACCTTTAAATTTCAGGTACCTCTTCAGGTACCTTTAGATTTCAGGTACCTCTTCAGGTACCTTTAGATTTCAGGTACCTCTTCAGGTACCTTTAAATTTCAGGTACCTCTTCAGGTACCTTTAGATTTCAGGTACCTCTTCAGGTACCTTTAGATTTCAGGTACCTCTTCAGGTACCTTTAGATTTCAGGTACCTTTTCAGGTACCTTTAGATTTCAGGTACCTCTTCAGGTATCTTTAGATTTGTTTGTTTTGTTTGTTTAATTGTGTGACTCGGTATAGATCGTGGGACCTGGGTTGGGAGTCTTGACCGTGACTGTAGTATTTGTTCTTTGATTTGATTGATATGAAACTTTTACAAAATAGTACTGTATATATAATATAATTAATATACAGCAAATCGAATAAATATATAAAAAGAGTCAAAATGTTTTAAATTCTTTTATCTTTACTAGTCGTGTTATGAACAGTTGTCTGAACTGGATGGGCTCCAAAACGTTTAAAAATATTATTTATATCCGCTATTCTTATCAGAAAGTATTGTTGTCCATATAATATTACAACTGATAAAATAAGATAAAATAACTGCACATAATGACGGCATTACTATACTAGTCATACTTTCTCAATTCTAAAGCTGAACATGCCAAGTAACATACCAAGTAACATGCCAAGTAACATGCCAAGTAACATGCCAAGTAACATGCCAAGTAACATGCCAAGTAACATGCCAAGTAACATGCCAAGTAACATGCCAAGTAACATACCAAGTAACATGCCAAGTAACATGCCAAGTAACATGCCAAGTAACATGCCAAGTAACATGCCACCAACGTTACAGGAAGCAGGGTGTGACACGTCGTGTATCGAGTACCTGGCCAAGCTGAAGAGTGTATCCTCGCTAAGTGCCCCTCCTCAGCCAAAACTAACGTCATCAAGTAAGTCATTCTTTATGTTAGTCGACAGTAAATTTGCAGATGCAGATTTATATAAATCGTATTTGATAAGGAAGTTTTCTGCTCTTTCTTGTGGAAATTACAGCCCAGTTCCACGGCTCAGTTTTGCGACCAGATTTGACACAAAACTCCGCGCAATGAGTTTTGAAAATCAAAACTCCGCAAAAGCAGTTTTGTTTACAATGTACGTTTTCACGGTTGGTATTTGCACGCAGATTTGCGCGCGCACGTGGGCGCATTATAATGAAATGTCCCACGCAAGCGCCCAGGTTAAAACTGCTTTCGCGGAGTTTTGGGTCATATCAAAAATATTTCTCCGTGCGGAGAAATATTTTTGAATTTCATTTCCGGTCGCAAAATGGGAGAAAAAATGTGAGCAAATCTGGTTGCAAAACTGAGCCGTGGAACTGCAGGGTAGGACCTTTTTTAAAAACTTGGATATTTGATAACATTATTATGGTAGGATTCAATTAGGTTAGACCAAAGAAAACATTACGTACAATTTTTGCTCAAACTTAACGCAAACTAAGAGAATAATCAGCTAATTGTTTAAAAGTTTATGAACAATTCAATTGTGTTATATTTTACAAAGATTTCGTTAGAAAACTAATAAGGATTTAAAACAAAACTTAATACATATAATATAATACTTAATAGTTATAATACTCTAATGGTGCCCAATGTAACTTGGTTGGTTATAATTGAGAGAGACACTCCCCCCCCCCCCCCCCCCCCCCCGCTACTCCACTTAAGTACACCCGTCACCAAGTTTATGTATACCAATGGAACCTTGATCTGGCTTGATCAGTAGCTCGAGATTCTGTTACTTCAGGATTCAAATTCAATAGCAATTGTTGTACTTGCATATTTTACACATGATTCATGTAAAGTTCGCTCATTCTAATATGATAAGAGGAGATTCTTTCATTATCAAATCGTCTTACCCTGTAACGGTAAAAGATCGCCACTGCAACCAAAATACAAGCCAGTGTCAGCAGTGCTATGAACGCAGCGACCACTATTTTCTGTGTTAGATCTTTGTGACAGAATCCTTTGTCAACTTTAAACCCTGGTGGACACTTGTGACATTGGACCCCATCTCCGTATAGATCTTCTGGACACTTGTAACATGTGTGATTCTCCCAGTACTCTCCCAGAGTGCACCTGGAGAATAAGAATTGGGTTACAACTTATTGCACTCACTCTAATAACGATTATAGCCTTGTTTTTTAACTAGGTATCTCAAACTCTTGGGAATAGATCTAATACTTCTCCTAGATTTACAACTTGCAATTATTGAATTACCTGTAACAGTTGCCTGAAGCTGGTTTTGCAGCAGTAAAGTGAGGACATCTTGTACAATTCAGAGACCCAGCAGTAGAGTAAAAGTTCTCAGAACACGGCTCACATCTGGTATTGTTAACCAGTATGTAGCCTGCTTTACAACTACATGTGGTAGATCCCGGGGTTGATGTGGAATGTTGAGGACATGGTGTGCACTGTGTGTTGTTACCACTGTCTGAGTAATGGTCCTCTGAACACTGGACACAGTTCCTCTCCTCCACTCTCCAGTAGGAACCAGGCAGACAGGTACAGAACGATTGAATCTCGTTAGATGTGAGATTTCCTGGACATTTGAAGCACTCTGTAGCACCAGAGTAGCTGTAAAACCCAGCACTGCAGCCCTTGCAGACTCCATCCTCCCAGTAAAGTCCACCATCGCACTCACACTGTTCTGATCCAGCTGTAGAACTGGATCCTGGCGCACAGGTTGCACATTTTAGCGCTCCCTCTGTGCTGTAGGAGTTAGGCGGACAGATACTACAGCGCGCTTCCAGTGTTGTCAGCGATAGGAAATAGTAACCTGCTGGACAGTTACAGTGAGTAGAACCTACAGGTGAAGTGCTGTTTGTAGGACACTTGAAACAGTGCTGGTAGTTTGATGTTATGTACCAGTTAGCAGCACAGTTGCACTGTGTTGAGTCTGGAGGGGAGGCGGCGCCTGCTGGACAGGGGAGACACTTCCTATCAGAGATGTAGGTGTTAGCTTTACAGCCGGTACAGGAGATCTTCGTGTAGTAGTCTCGGTGATTGTAATAGATACGAGTACGACAGCTAGAAGAAGTATCGTAAGTACACTCGGTAGGACTGCTACATTTCAGGTTATAAACTTATTCAACGGCATCATTTCACCAATTAAGCCACTCCTTTCTGAGGGTACTTGGCTTATCGCACCTGAAGCATGGAAAAGGTTTTAGTTGATCATTTAAGAACAATACAATTATAAGAAACCCAAATAATTCCAGCTCTAACCAAATCATTAAATTAAACTCTTAAGATGTTTCCTTAGTGACTGTTAAAGTATAACCTCTACCCACCTAATGTTTCCTTATTAACTGTTAAAGTATAACCTCTACCCACCTAATGTTTCCTTATTAACTGTTAAAGTATAACCTCTACCCACCTAATGTTTCCTTATTAAACTGTTAAAGTATAACCTCTACCCACCTAATGTTTCCTTATTAAACTGTTAAAGTATAACCTCTACCCACCTAATGTTTCCTTATTAACTGTTAAAGTATAACCTCTACCCACCTAATGTTTCCTTATTAACTGTTAAAGTATAACCTCTACCCACCTAATGTTTCCTTATTAAACTGTTAAAGTATAACATCTACCCACCTAATGTTTCCTTATTAAACTGTTAAAGTATAACCTACCTAATCCAATGATGATTAAAATCATGAATATAAGAATGCTAGATTGTGCGATCATATTCATTTTAAAACAACTTTAAAGCAACAAAAGAGTAAACATGCATGATTAGACAACAGGATCAATTTAACAGGAATTCCTCACGTGAATGAAATCAACTGTCGACATATTTAGTGTTTGCGTTCAAAATATGGATTTTTTGGTATATGGGCTATGGCTTAATAAGATTTTGACTGCCATTGCTAGTAAAGGTTATTACTACTATCTTCATAGTTTTTACGACAAATTTCTTAAATGTTAATACTAATAATCTCAAGATGTGTGTTTGTGTGTTCGTTCGTTCGTTCGCGTGTAATTTCCGAGCGGCTTAATCAAGTAAATGGTTAGAAAACGGTCTGGTTTTTTCGGTATAGGCCGACAAAATCTGACCAAGCCAAATTATTAAGGTTTTTTAAATCGGCTGCGGCCGGTGGTAAATGGTTTAATTGATCATTTTGTGACCCAAATGTGATACTCATTACTCAAGTGTCTCAAGTACTCTCCCTCTTTCTCACTCTCGCTCTCTCTCTCCCCCATAAAAGATTTGCTATGTAATTAGATAATTTGGCAGTAGACCTCAAGATTCCCTATCAATTATTACTATGTATTAAATACGTGAGGAGCACTCAGAATTAAATTGCAGTCTGTTTGGAATGAGTAACTTCATAGTTCATACTTTCGCACCGGTTTAACTACGAAAATATAATGCATGTTTTCGAATGTAATAGGCGGGTTTATACTTTTGCATTTCAACTGCGATAGTGAAGTCCCGGCCGTTGGCACGGGTTACACCAGTAAGATAATATAATAAAATGAAATTCTGCTCAACTACAACAATTTAACCAATCAAATATAAATCACGTTTCCAACCTCATGTTTACCACGTATCAAGATGACGTCACACGACTTTATTTTCCAGCTGGAGGTTACAGCAGCATGTCCAACATGTTCAAGTACGTCAAGAATTCCTCCAAGTTCATGATGGAAGGAGTAAAGAGTCTGGTGGTGGGACACAGGAAACTGCCCGTAACCCGGACTGTGGACTGTCTCTCCGAGCTGAAGCAGACTCCGGAGACTGATAGTTTCCTGGCGCTGGATCCTAAGATATATAGGAAGAGTGAGAACCTTCTGCCGGCCCTCAAGAACACTTTTAACGATGTGAGTAATTTCGTGTTTTTTAGCGAACGAGGTTTTTTGTTGTATATGGTAGCTTGCGAGCGAGCGTGCGTGCCCGCCCAGGTTTCTGGGCACAGATCCGTGTCAGGTTGCATAAACAATAAACATATGGTTACATAAAAATATACACGATTTTCAAATTCAATGTAGAATTATATTAACTGGGCGGCGCTCGGCAGTCGGCATGTCACTTCGCCATATTTGTGCATGTTTATATAAACAGTAAAGACTGGGCCGTCCCCAGGTTGTATGGAATATGATAAATACGCCATCACGGATCGGGAAATTGAGCGGCCATCCACAAAAGAAAAGCGGCCGCATTTCTTGTTATGTAACTTGCCATCATCGCTGCAGCTGAGAAAAGTGCATAACGTTTGGCCTTTTAAATTACACTTGTCCTTTAAATATGGGAGCTCCAGCCATGCCACTCAGATGACCGATTTAAATAATATGCTAGATAAAACTTTTGAATATATGGTTCCCAGGACGGTTATCGTGGCTTAATCCTCACTGAATATCGTATTACTACCCGCGCATTATATGAGGTCATTTCCCTTATCAATCTCTTATATCATGACTTACTTGTTTGTAGTTTCTCTTCTTTATTTCCTTGTGTTCTCAATTGTTTTACGCTAGACACATGATTCCTTTGACTAGTTGCTTCTCAAATCGTTCTGTTAATAATAAATTGTTCAAATCAGTCGTTAATTCACTTTAGAGACGATGTTGAAGTTCCAACTTAATGTTGTTAGTTATCGTTCACATGTTCCATAAACTAGTCTAGAGGGCTTGGAAAAGCTGCTAGTGTAGGGGGGAAGCCAAGGGGTATTTTGTGGTAGTTTGTATTAAGTAGGTAAATAACGTATAAATTACATATATATAAATAAGGCTCATCAGACTCAGTATATTTCATATATTTCGATCGGCCGTTGTTTTGTGAGTTTGCAAGTTGAATGTTCAATTTTATATTTTTTTAAATAACTGGTAAAATAACATGTTTCTCAGGATTTTTGAAGATTTTTTCTTTAAATGTTTTTCAATCGAATTTTACGTAAAAGCATACCTCCCCATCACAAAACGACATTATTCTAACCAATATTTCGATCTAAGTTTCGTTCACTATCAGGATGATAAAAGCCCACACAACTTTGCTTATGATTTTCGTGTTACACTGCGGTGACTCTAAGTGTAACATATCAAGAACCGATTGTGTAGAAGTAGCTGGTCATGCGTTTCACGGTGTGACGGACACTTGGACCGCCAGTGATAGCAGATATAATGCAACTTTGCTTATTATTGGCATAATACTTCTACTTGCTTTCTTGGGTATTACATCTGGTTTTCTGTTCATGATGGAAGTGCTAGAAGTTGGGTTCGCTAAACTTTTCCCAAATCTGAGTTTCGGAAATAACGTCTGTAACATGATAAAGAATCCGGCTGATCCAGGGAGTCTGTTCGATAAACCCAAAGATCACGTTTATCATATCGTGCCTGTAAACAAGCGTTATAACAAGAAGTGGGGAACAGAGTACCCTGAAGGGGTGTATGTTCTTGTTGAAGAATCAGAGTTTCAAGAGCTCAAAAACATTGGACAGAGGACCGTGATACAACACGGACAAAAGAGAGGCATTAAGGTTGGAGATTTCCAAGGGGGTAGCTATTCACCATTTCCCCTTGTTAACGGTGTTGAGATATCAGCTAAAGACCTGATCAGAAAGTGGAAATATTTGTATCTTCTACCGTGCAGTTTTAGATACGAAAATATAGTGTTAAGATGTGTTATTGCTATGTTATGTTCAATCTTCGTATGTTGCGATTTTTCAATTCTGAAGATAGCTGTAGATATGCATGATGTTGTACTAGATCTAGATCTAAGCTACGCTATGTTACTTGATAACGGATCTTTCGTTAGTAGAAATGTAACGAGAAACAGTATGGCGAACGATAAGATTTTAGTTTTTGGATGTTTTGGTGCAATTAAGTTTCCATTTTTTGCTTTCGGGACAAACATGATCTTGGGTTACCGTAACAAGGATAAAGCTGCAAGCAAACTACTGAAACCGTTAGTCTCAGGAATAAAGATAATATCAGAAGATTTCGGTGAATTATTTATGGAATATTTCTTTGTCGATATCTATTCTTTTGGTGATGGTATCAGCTACACCATTCTTTCAAAAATTGTTTTGTCAGTGTTGATACATGGTATATCCGGACTTAAAGCGTTGTTTTCTTACAATAGTGATTACAAGATGGTTAAGGAGAGTAAAGGTAGCACTTTAAAGATCAGTGCTCCTTTGGTTTTAAAATTTATTTTCAGTAAAAGGAATATTTTTAAAGTAGAAGATAAAGAAGTAAAAATAGGAAATAAGCTAATTGTAAGTTTTGTAGTTTTTACTTTTCTTAAGGTATTGTTTTCATGTATAGTTATAACAAGAGCTTTTGGTGTAATATATCATAATGTTACGGGTTATATATCAGAAAATTGTTTCCAAGTAAAGTATGGGAGACTCATGCAAACTCCTTTAAATTGGAATTGTATGAATAGAATTGATCGCACGCTATTTGCATTATACTGTTTTCCCGTTTTGGTTTTACTGATAGTATTTTTATATTTCATTACATTAATGGTAAATATGAATATTATAATAAAGTAGCTGAAGAGATAGCTGGAGATGTTGGGACGTTAAGTTTTACAGTAAAAAATAAAGAAAGGTTAAATGAAAAGTATTCATATAAGCCTTCTTTTATAAGGTGAACAAGCATTTTGAAGAAACTACAGTGTAATTGATTTGTTTTATCTAAGTTATTTGAAGGATGTGGCAGTCTTTTGGTATTCGTATGGTTAAAGATGATTCGACACAAGCATGCGTTTTAATATACATTAAAACATATTATGCATTATTAAAACATATTATGATAACGTTATAATGCGTTACGTTCTTATTTGCTGTACCATTACTCTTAAACTTATATTTTAATTATTGAACCAGGTTGCCCAGAATTGAATATTTGTCGGTGACACCAGTGGCGTAACAAAGGGCCCCGCCGACCCCGCTGTATGGGGATGCCATCTTAATTTGAATGTGGGACAATTTTGAAAAACTTAACTACGGTACTAGCAAAACTGCGCGTTTTGCTCTAGAAACACACTTTTTTAGAGATTTTACAGGCGTATCCTCTAAAATCATCTAATTTGTCCAATTTTGGGGAGGGGCACCAAAAGGGGAGGGGCGCCAACAGGGGTCAGTTGGCGCTTTTTCAGCAGGGGGGGGGGCTCCAACAGGCAAAGTTACGTCATTGGGTCACACAACACTAGACTCCAACGTTACCACAGCTGTGTCCGACTGAAATTGGGCGTTTATTGTTCTGTTAAATTACGTCTTCAGATTCATGTGTAAACGTATTAAAACACCAAACTGTTTGTTCCATTTTATTTTTGAATGCTTATATCCAGGATTGACTGCTGTCGTTGAAGTTGATCATGCCAAGAATAGAATGGGCATCTTATGCTCCGCAAAGTTTTGAAATTGGCAAAGGGTGATTCGGGAATCATTGAGCGCCATCTCCGAATAGCAATTCAATGTTGCGAGCAAATGTATTTTCGCGCTGATTATTCAACTATTGCGCGCATAATACACGTGTACTGTACTACTACTGGACTAGACTCTTCTGATTCCCTGTGAAACAGCATTGCTCCCCATACCTTGTTTCAACCCAAACATGGTTGCCTAAACTCTTTTCCAAATCCTTTCCTTTTAGTTTAAACCGACTCGGGTAAGACGGAAGACCAGTTTCCACGTAAACACAGTTAAACTACCCTAATATTTCAGGTTTACGTATTCGTGGTGGGCGGTGGTAGTTACGTTGAATACCAAAACCTCATGACGTACGCAGAACAACATCCCGACAAACGTATCGTGTACGGCAGCTCGGAGATGATGGACAGCAGCAACTTTCTGGAGCAACTGACTAAGTTGGGCGGCGCCAGCAGTTAAAGTTGGCATTAGACTGATATTTTGACGTGATGGTTTGTGGGGAGATGATGCACGTGGATCTGTGGACTTTTTAGTCGCGTTACATGATGGAGAGATTTAGGTTCAAACGTTTAGCAGTTTGTGGACACGTACTCTGATTTTTGTTTCAGAATACTGGGGTGCAGTCCCCAACTGAGTATGATTTTGGTTGATGGCGGAAGTGTTGCCGAGAGCGAGGATATTACGGTTTTTCAGTGACTGAATACTTCATCAGCGATTTATTTGATTTAATATGTTGTTTAGCTAAGGATAAAGGATGTTATCGTGATTCAATAATGATTATTTTGTCCTAGTAATTAGTATTGTTCGATTATATCATCTTTCTATAAACACTGTATTTTTGAAGGTACATTTTTAAGGTTCTAAAATAACTCTAAGTTGATTAGTTAGTTACCATCCATTAAAATACACAAGTTTGTGCACATTTAAGTTCGACTCAACTTAATTCCTCTTATGCTTGGGTGAATAATGTGCTGGTAACATAATTCTATATTTATTAGATATGGCGAATAATTAACAATTAAGATATGTCCAATCAGATTCCGCTGGCTGTTTTGTTATTTTATGATCGAATAGTTGGTTTTTTACCATAAGTAAATCGAGACTCTTACCACTTAAAGATTTATCAGCAACATTTTTGAAGAAATTTGTAAATTCTTTAATTGTAAGATAGTGCATGATTGTCATTTATTTCTTTGACAGGGTGATAATATGGTAATTTGAATTTTGAAATAATTTGCTGCCTTGTTTGAATCGTGGAATTGCGATTGCTTCCAATTATGACTTTTCATTTCTCCGATACGATACAAATTGTAAGATAATATCCCTTAAAGTTCCCATAAAAGTTCTTTTATCTGCTACCAAAACCAACGGAGAGATTTTATAGCGGTTTAAGGTTTGGAGTTTCTGTGGAGCGAGATCATTTTTTGCCATCGATAAGATTATAGAAAATTTAGGACACCATATTACTGAAAGTCATGTGTTATTTCGCCCTGGATAAATCTCTTGAATTTAAGGTAATCTTAAACAACGCCCCACTTACTCATCTTAAGGTAATTTATCATTAAATAAATATTTTACATATTAATCCGGCTTCATTATCAAAATATCAAAATGTTTGGGGACTATAATTTTCTGTATAACGTTCAATTTAATGGCAGACCATTAACTTAAGAGGATAACATGTTAAAGATAAGAAGAATTAAAACATTTTAGTTTTGATGTATAAAAATCAATGGAACTTAGAATAACATTACCACAATGATAAATCTGATTCACGAAATTGAGAAATTGAATTTACAGTAAAATTAAAACCAAAACTAGAACTCCACAAACATTTAAAGAACTTAACACTACAGCTCCGTTATTTTTTCGGCAACTTTCTACCGTTAGTAGAAGAAAAACAAAATAAAAACCAAAAAGCAAAGTCTAAAAATAGCTGAAACCACGGTAAATAAAGCTAAATCTAATGATTTTAGCAGCACTCTGTAAACGTTAACAAATAATAAACATCATTACAACTACCTTAAAATACTCCTCAGCTGATATGTATCAAATCTATATGCATAATGACGTAGTAGAATTGCACGACACATCTGAGGCCACGATAGATCCGTAATACTTTAAAATCCACAAACAAGGATTATATCTTTATCTAGAATAGTAAGAGACTTGAGTGCTAGAGTACGCAGTTTTATTAGGTCGCACTCGAGATAAAAGTCTGAGATCTGTGATAAATCTGGTACCATGATAAAGATTAGTGAGCATAATCACTTGACAGTGATTAATGAGCTGTGTGAGCGCTACTACATTAGATAACAGGGGCTACATCAACTCACCCCAGGATGAGAATGAGGAGTCTGCACGGTGAGAGAACGGGGCTACACTTCTAAATTAATTAGTAGCCCCAGTATCAGTCCTCCAGCAACCAAAAACACGTTACTCGCCAATATGTGAGCTGATCCTTCGAAGTTGAACAGTTGGAAGGGTCGGAAGTCATGACAGTAGTCTCGTTGCAAACACTTGTAGAGTCCGTTGACTATACCCACTCCTGTGGGATCGTCTGGGACCGACTGGTTCCAACGGTTCCTCCGCAAGTTCGTGATGTTTTGTGTTTCCCAGTATATTTTTGCTGCTTCTATTTCTTTACTCACTGAAACGAGAATTAGCTTATTATGTTTGACATTTTTGAGTCATCAGCCTATAAAGTGAACAATGCATACATTTTCCACGTTATTGTAAATTAATCAAACTTGCACAACCAATATGAAATTCGTGTGATGGACACCAGGTATTAAAGCATCGCGAAACTCCCTGGCTTCTTCTTAAACACATCTACCGAATTATATTGATAATTGACCCTACCAAATGAAGTTAACTCACGATCGTAAGTGTCGTTGACACATCTAAGATCTAGTAGTTCTTCGTCTTGGTCGGAAGTTCCGTTGTATGCTGTATAGTTCACCATCAGACATCTCGGATAGTTCTCGTAGTCCTGAGGATTCGAAAAAGTTTTAGGAACAGATTTATGAATTTATATTTTTGTCAGAGTCTTCCGGACGGAACAAATTTAATGGATGAAATCCGGACTTAATTAGAAATTTGAAGCTAAGCGGTGTAACTTGTATTGAAATGTGATGTACAAATCTAACGGGCTGACACACCATACAAACTTGGATATTGGTGAGGAGATGAATTGCTTTCTATGACAAACAGTGATTATCCAATAATAACGATTATCGAAAATAAAAACGTATATAATCTGATTATTCTGAACCCTACTAAAAGCTTTAAGCTGGTACCTACCCGGGTGCAATTATGGTAGGTACAAAAAGCGGGTTTAGTGATAGGGTTATCCTTTCTGTTTAGGTAGATCTGGTAACTGTCCGTCCTGGGAGAGAGGACCTCGTCGTAGTAACCGGAGAAGTTGTACACGTGCTTCTGAGTGCAGTTCACCCAGCACCACAGTGACTCATCTGAAAGGAGAGATTGATGAGAAAATCGATGTGACGGATCAGGCGTTTCCTAGCCTTAGTCCTTACAGTTACATATTTGCGATTGATATCATTGAGAAAGCCTTAATTAAGGACCGTAAAAATGTCGAGTTACTTGAAACTTGACTGGGTTTTCTCCCTCTAACGATCAAACAAAAGGTTGCTTATTCCAATTAACAATTAACATGTTAATTAATCGTTTAAATCAAATTTTTATCAAATTAGACATACGTTGATACAGAAGAGATAGAAGCCAACGGATGGGCTTGCAAGCTCCAGACAGTAGAAGTGGGAGCTCGAGGCATTCACAACTATAGCCTCCCAACATTTATGAACCACCTGAACGTAAAGACTAAAGAGAAGAAGAAGGCCTGCATGAAGATCGCTGAGATCAGCCTGAGGGCATCGTATACCATCTATTTGTCCAGAAACACTACCATATGGACAGATGATTGGGAGTTAGTCAAGAGACCAGTAATAGCATAGTAGGAGCGTAGAATGTTTGGGCCCAGAAAAACATGTTTAATACCGCTATGAACCCGTCATAAGCCGGGGACTACTATGACAGTGATGATGCTGTGTTGTTGAAAGACCTTCGACCAATCAAAGATGTACCTCATCACGCCAAGCAGTTATGCTTGTAGGTGAATATACACTTATAGAGTACAACAACTTTATAACACTCCTTATGATTGGAAATTGACCCGAGTGAGGAGGGTTATCCTCACATTGATTAACGGATTGGAATCTCCTTGGAGATATGGCGTTTACTCGTCAAAGGGAAGTTGTATGGTTTGATGGTTATGCCAGTAGAGTGACACGACTTCCCCTCTCACTCTGCGCCTACCTGACTTCTAACTGAGGGTGACGTTTCTACGTCGGGCACCCTCACGAAAACAAATGACCGGGAAGTCCCTTGGGTGTGAACCCCAGCTCCCCTGCTACTATTTCACCCACAGCAACTAATAGCCAGCAAGATGATAGTGGAAACAACACAGGGCGGAGTGTTACACACGACCAACAGTGTGATAAGTGTAAAAGGTGGTTTAAGCACGTGAAGAAACACGCGAGATTTTGTAAGCAGACACCGGACAAGAGCCTGGAAGAGGATGCCGTAGGCATTATCGGTCAGGAAGGAGGTAACACGGAGACGGAACCCAGCCAGGATACAAACCACAGTGCAAAATGGAGGACGTCTACGTCTGCAAACTTTAGATCTCACGCAGATCCACCAGAACCGGTAGTTATTAAAACTCGATTAAAACTACCTAAGGCCAATGATATTAGGTGGGACAAGATTGATCAAGACCTCGGTCTAATTGGTCTCCAGTTCACTACACACAGCGACCCTAGTAAGGGTTTGGAGTTACTTGAGAACACCACCTATGATTACCTCGAGTTGATATGCGAAGTTGGTTCAACAAACATTATACCATCGAAGAAAAAACCGAGACTTGATGCCGAGTGCAGACAGTTGAGGGAAATGAAGAAAGAGAGTAGGAAGGAATGGAAGAGAGTATGTGACTCGAATGATGATGAACAGGTTAAAAGACAGAAGATTTCTTACCTGAAACTAGTACGACTTCATAACAAAGCAAGAAAGACCGCCCAGAAGAAAGAAAGGAAAAAGATGAAAGAGAATAGCTCCAAACTCTTTAGAAGAAACCCTTATGAGTATGGTAAGAAACTGCTCACGAAGGAAGAGACTAAAGATAAAGAGCCTGAGTTCGACAGTGAAGAAGCATCTAAGTTCTTTGAAAAGGAGTACAAAGATGATGACCGAGAGCGTGACTATGTAAACCCCACAGGACTGAAAGACCTTGACAAGCCTAATTGGATCTGCAGTACAGCGCCACCCACATGGGATGAATTCCACCTAAAGCTTAAGTCAAGGAGAAATAAGTCAGCACCTGGGTCAAATGGTGTCAACTACCTGATCTACAAGAAGTGTCGAGCTTTCAGTCACCATCTACACCATCTGATATGCAGGATTTGGAAAACAGGAGTTGTCCCCCCACAGTGGAAGGTGGGAGTGAGTACATTAATTCCTAAAACGGATGATCTGAAAGATCCTGGCAAGTTCCGTAACATCACACTCCAAAACTGTAGTGGGAAGCTGTTCTTTGCCATCTGGGGAGACCGTGTACTTGAGCACATGACACGAAATCTGTTCATTGACACCTCAGTACAGAAAGGTTTCATGAAGAAAACCCCTGGGTGCCTAGAACACACTCAAGCTCTCCTTGAAGAGATTAAAGATGCTAAAAGCCACAGAAGACAAGTCCACGTGATCTGGATTGACCTTATGAATGCGTATGGGAGAGTCCCGCACAGCCTTATTATTTATGCCCTACGCCGGTACCACCTACCTGAAAGCTTCATTAAGCTTATAATTGAGTATTATGGAAGCCTCAGTGTCCTAGTTAAGTGCAGGAAATGGACATCCAGAACATTTTGGTATGAGCTAGGCCTGTTCCAGGGAGACCCACTGTCCGTGATCCTGTTCCTTATAGTATTCAACATCCTACTGGAACTTCTAGCTGTACTGTGCAGTCAAGTTGGGTATGAGCCAAGCTTCAGTGATAGCAAGACCTCAAAGAAAGCATTTGCTGACGACCTAACCCTGTTGTCGAAGAGCGAGAAGGAGATGAAGAAGATGTTGAAGGTAGTAGAAGAGTTCCTGGACTGGTCGAAGAAAATGAAGGCTAAACCATCGAAGTGCCTGTCTATGTCTATGAAGTGTACTGGAGGAAAGTACAACACCTATGATGCAGAGTTTGTACTAAGCGAACAACAGGTGCCGTCCATTATCCAAGCACCAATGAAGTTCCTAGGAATGTACATGTATGTAGATCTTGAGGTGAAGGAAATTCGGTCCATGATTAAGAAGAAGTTAGAGGACCTTTTGGAAACAACGTCTAATGATGAAATCACCGGTCCAATGAAGGCGTGGGTGTATAACCACCTCATCATTAGTAAGATGTCATGGGGGTTTACTGTTTATAACCTACCCATCACATTTGTGAGAGAGCTTGAGGCACTGTGTAACAGATACCTTAAGAAGTGGCTAGGGATTGCGCATCCTTGCACCACCACCGTCCTCTACAGGAGTAGGGACCAGAAAGGATTGCAGCTGAAAAACATCTGCACTGAGTACAAAGTCATCCAACTTATTAAGGGACACCAACTTTGTAACTCTAGTGACCCCTACATCAAAAAAGTGTACTCTAACCATGAGGCTATTGCAGACACACAGAAGATGTGGTCTTATCCCAAAGAGCTGAAAGACCGTCAGCGCCAACTTTACTTCCAAGAGTTAGTTGGAAAACCTGCAGTTGGTACAACTGGCCTCGGGTATGGGACAAGATATGAGGACACGTCAGAGAGGAAACTGCTAACCAACATGGTGAGGACCTTTGATGAAGAGACACTTATTTGTTCACTTTTTGACAAAAAGCGGCAAAACCTCTTTCTCACATGGGAAAATACAATGACATTCGACACCACGTGGAATAACCTGATCTATCAACTTAGTCCGGAACTGTTAAAGTTTCATGTCAATGCTATCCATGACACTGCGTCAACGCCTAGCAACCTAAAGCTTTGGAATAAAGCTGTTTCAGGAAACTGTAAACTCTGCAGCAAACAAGGGACACTCAATCATATCCTCACGTTCTGCAAGGTTGCACTAAGACAGGGACGTTTCAACTGGCGCCATGATCAGGTCCTACGTGAAATCATGAAGACTGTTTCATCACAGATTGATGAGTTTAATTCCGACATCGCCAAGGAATCGAAGAGGGCACCGTCGGTCTTTCACAAGGCAGGCAATAAGCGCGAGAAGGTTACCTTAGCTGACCCAACTCATCATAAGACCCAAAGATATTTCTTTTCAGATGCCAACGACTGGAAGATAATATTTGATGAGGATGAGAGACAGAGGAACTTCCCGCAGCACATTGCAGCTACACCACTAAGACCTGATGTAGTGATCTATTCAGATAAAGCAAGGAAGGTTTATCTAATGGAGCTGACTTGTGGAAATGAGCAGAACTTTGCTGATCAAGAAAAGCGAAAGATGAAGAGATATCAGCAGCTGACAGAAGAGATAGAAGCCAACGGATGGGCTTGCAAGCTCCAGACAGTAGAAGTGGGAGCTCGAGGCATTCACAACTATAGCCTCCCAACATTTATGAACCACCTGAACGTAAAGACTAAAGAGAAGAAGAAGGCCTGCATGAAGATCGCTGAGATCAGCCTGAGGGCATCGTATACCATCTATTTGTCCAGAAACACTACCATATGGACAGATGATTGGGAGTTAGTCAAGAGACCAGTAATAGCATAGTAGGAGCGTAGAATGTTTGGGCCCAGAAAAACATGTTTAATACCGCTATGAACCCGTCATAAGCCGGGGACTACTATGACAGTGATGATGCTGTGTTGTTGAAAGACCTTCGACCAATCAAAGATGTACCTCATCACGCCAAGCAGTTATGCTTGTAGGTGAATATACACTTATAGAGTACAACAACTTTATAACACTCCAATTAAATATTCAATACAACCGCACCTCCGTAATACCAGTAAATCTGTCCGGCTTTTTCCGGCTGTTCAAAGAAGAAGTTCTTTTCCAGTTTTACGTGAGTCGTGTAGGTGATATCCTCCGCCTGATCTGGAAGTTAAGGGCTAAGTTCAGCTTGAAAAACATGATACAAATACAATGGCGAACAAAATTACGAAACGAACCGAAACGAAGCGAAACACTTTATTTACTACCCCGCTATACTATGCAGAAAAGATACTGTATAAAATATAACTAAATAATTTACACAATACGGTGCCCATGTCTGAGCGGCTCTCCTCAACACACTTTCTCTCCTCATCGGAGCAGAAAATTAAAAACAAAACACGGGTCTCATAAAATCAAAAAATAGTAAATAAGTTAAAAGAAAAAACCTCTTAGCCAGATATAGACGACCTTGTAGTCATTGTACCAGAGTTGCAGATGAGATCCTGTGAACTGTATCGACATGTTTGTCTTTCTAAAACAGTTAGGTGTTAGAGAATCGCCATTTCAATATTTTGTACAATTTTAGTGTATTCAAAGATCTGATCAAAATGTAGCTTCACCACATGAAATTTATTGGTGAAACAACAGGAAGCTGAGCTGAATAAGCACCCGAACATAAGTTGAGTACTTACTTTGAATTTGAATCTGCATAAGTGTAATCCCAAAGATCGAGCGGTACAGTGATCCATTGCTTGACAAAGTCATTGTTATCCCGGAAAGTCGAGTTGATCCACATTTTCCGCTTTTCTTTTCTAGCGTCCCATTGGATGGTAGTTGTTTCCCGGAGGACTGGGTTATCATTATCTGTTGTAGCTCTCATGTCCTTTCTGTACAACCGTATCAATTTAGGGTTCGTTCCCTGGAATTGCAAGGATCATTTAAAAACGTTTTACTTATGTAGAAAGTTTTCTTATTTTGGAATTTCCCTTTCTCAAACATCTTTCTGAATATTATGGAATAGTCATCCTGACTTTCACAGTAATACAAAATGTTTTAACTGTAACCAATACAAGATGTAGCTAACTTTGCCAATGTTGACTTCGGGCAAAATTGGTTTACTTGTTGGTGACAGTAAAAGACACCCTCACCCTGTTAACTTACTGTCAACAATACAGAAACTGAAACTTTTGTCGAAGTTAACATTGGCCGATTTTGGTTACATCTTGGTCACAGTTAGCAAACGTTGTTGATTGTTAATATTACTAAATATCATAATATCTTACTATTAGGTTCCTCTACTCCCTATGACCACGGGTTTTCTAGTATTATTATAATATCAATATTATAAATTCTCAGCTAAGAGTCTCAACTGAAAATTTCAGATATATTTATTATTTGCTAATCATTATATACTCACCGGGCCTTCCTCACACTCCCTGGCATTACTCCAACCCCAACCCTCGCAGTTCCACTGTACGTTTATCTTGTAGATCTTTCGGGTAGGCATAACCTCATATATATGATCACTTGGCATCAGGGGCAAATACTCCCCTAGTGTGAAATGGAATTAGTGGAATAAGTGGAATTCTGGATCACGTCACAGTGATAATTTTCAGAAGAATTGATATTATAATTACTGTCGAAGTTTGAGTTATCTATGAATGATCATTTGCGAGGTGCAGTAAATCTCTGAATAAACAGTTCTCTGACACATTCTTCATAAGTGCTTACCTTGACCCATCCATACTAGAAGACATGCCCCGATCAAGTAGAAAATGATTTTCTCCATGCTACCATTGATCTAGAACATGCTTTCTTATCTTAGAATGCTAAGATTGGATTCCTAATTTTAGTTGATTGTTAGAGTCGAAATATCGATAAAATATCTATTGTTAATTAATATCTACAAGGTTAAATAGTTAAGTAAATAAATTTTTGTAAATAGAGGTTTGAAAAATTAGCAATGAGGAATGACTATAAAGAACGAATAAAATAAATATTATAAAATAATAAAATATCTAAAATTGGACAAAGTCAAAAAGCAATAGTCACAACCACGAAATCAAATTCAAAATAAAATTAATTTCAAAGCAGGAAAAAGCAAACTTCTTGTTTAACCATTAAATCATTCAGTTATCAAAGAAATAGCGAAGATTAAATTCATACAATAAAGCTTATCAGTATTATTATAATCAAAATGCAAAATTAAATAGAAATCCTCAAATTTCTAGAAACTCAAAAGATAGCTCGCAGCAATTCAAACCAAAACACTGAAATAATAAATCAAGTCATCACAGCTATTTTCATTACGAGCTAGACCACTCTAAGCTTAAAAACTCAGACTACATGTTCAGTGAACATTGTTTACAATGAATACGTACAGTGCACGAAGTTAAGCATTGACGAGTTTTTGATCGCAAGTATAATCAAAAACCTGTATTGGTGTCACGCTTGGAAACAACATTTAGCTAGCTCCCGTCAGCGCCCCGGTCCCTTAGGCTTAATGCTTAATGTAGCCGGGGTCCCTTAATGTAGCCGCCTCCCTTAATGTAGCCGCCTCCCTAATGTAGCCGCCTCCCTTAATGTAGCCGCTAGCCGCCTCTTATTTTATATAGCAATATTAGTACTAACATTTAAAGTCCACCATTTCTTTCAATTTACTACTACTAGGGGATCATCGAACGTTCAATTATCAATGCCAAGACTAACGGACACTTTTTAGCAACTAAGGACCCGGGACCAGGCAATCTGCAGTCTCAACTTTCAACCGTCCCAACTATCTGTTGTTTTTTCCGGGAACGCATCTGAACAGTCCTTGTAGAAGGTCTGAGAACGTCAATAAAATGACCCTACCGGAGTACAGAGCTGATCTGTGTGGCGAGGAAGAAAATGAGGAATAGGAGGAGAGGAAGGGAAGGGAGGTGAGAAAATGAGGAGTTACAGAGATCGTAGTTATCACAAACTTCGTACCAACAAGGCTTATCCGGGAACGCTTCACATGCCGTATCTGCGGGTTATTGTAAGTCATAATTGTCATGACAATCATTCAGTTAATATGTATACTGAGCTGGTCCAAAGTGTATACGTGTAATTATGATATCCGACTTTAAAGCTGACTTGAGAAACCAGGGAATTAATTTTACTTTCCTAAATCGTTGATTTTATTTATATATCACTTTCTTTTTTCCCAAAACATTCCAGTACATTGTGCAGAAAGTTGGAAATTAAATATTTTGGAAGCATGTAGGGATATAATAGACCTGATATCGATCGTATATACTAAAAATATTCTAGCGCAATTGTAACTGCAGTTTTACAGAACTCTAAACGCTTAGTGAACACACTTGCAGGTACCACCCGTATTCACACTCAGAAGTAGAACTAGAACTGAGTCTAGTCATTTTCCGATACGAGAGTGGGGACGGGTTCAAACTTCAATGAACAAACAAACAACATCGCTCTGATTTCATTCATATCACAACCCCACCCCATCACAGCCCTCCTCCATCACAGCCCCACTTCTCTGGACCTTTACTGATAGTTGAAATTCGACATATGACGTCATCTAGCGTCATCTAGCGTCATCTAGCGTGAAATATCGCCAGATGATGATAGATGACGCTAGATGACGCTAGCGACATATAGCGCTAGATAGCGACATCTAGCGCTAAATAGCCTGGACTGTCACGACCCAAAATTCTTCGCTATTTAGCGCTATCTAACGCTATTTAGCGCTATCTAACGCTATCTAGCGCTATATGTCGCAACGACATCTGACGCTATATAGCGCTATCTGGCGCTATATAGCGCTAGATAGCGTGAACTGTCGTAAACTGACTTATCCCGCTATCCAGCGCTTGATGTCGCCTGCGTCAGATGTCGTCGCGACAGATGTCGTCAGATGACGTCAGATATCGCTAGATGGCGTCAGATAGCGTCAGATGTCGCGGCAACATATGACGCTAGATGACGCTAGATGTCGTCCCTAGAATTTTTATGAAAATAGCGCTCTCTGTCGCCTGGCGTCAGTGCTGCGTGCTTAGCGTCATCTAGCGTCATCTAGCGTCATCTAGCGTCATATAGCGTCATATAGCGTCATATAGCGCTAGATAGCGCTAGATAGCGCTAGATAGCGCTAAATAGCGACATTCGAAAGGTGCCGTGCACTTAGCGACAATGTCGCTAATTGGCGTCATCTAGCGTCATCTAGCGTCATCTATCATCATCTGGCGATATTTCACGCTAGATGACGCTAGATGACGCTAGATGACGTCATATGTCGAATTTCAACTATCAGTAAAGGTCCACTTCTCTTTGTGGTACATACATGTGTAGTTCTCGTTGGTGCACTTGAGTAAAGTTTTCTGCTTGTTCGATCCTTGAGGGGTATGATGTAGTCTTACACAGCGTGGAAAATCTGAGGGGGTCATCGAGCTACCCACCAGTTTCTCCCCCATATCCTGGAAATATTTGATAAAAAGTTTGATAAATTTGCTAATAATGGTTTTGGGACTTTCAGAACGGACAGTGCAGCTTTTACAGCGAAAAGAACATTTTAATGAACACAAAGGGAGTACTCTCATATATTACGTGGTCTCATAATTTGACCATTTTTGGATCATCATTGCTTCGACACATAGATATTGTGCGCGAAACTGCCTAAAACTATTGAACTGACATTAGCTATCATTAGAAGCTAAAGTCTCAGTATTGAATATTGACGCAATCAAAAAGAGAGTCTATATACATATGTGCAGTTAACAATCTTGCAAGTTTCTCCTAAATCTTTTTCGCTGTACTGGGCTACTGCTTCTCTATCAAAGTGAAACCTGTCCGGGAGATCGTCATCGTAACAATCGGTCCAACAGAACACTGTCGGGTCTGGGGACAATTATTAGTTAATTATGTAATTAATTGATTAATTTCATAGATTTCTTAGAGTGTGGGATCATAAGTTTACTTCGATCTAGACATGTACCATTGTGCAGACTACATGTACCGGGAGATGTTTTTTTACTGTTCCAATCACTGATTTCCAGCAAAGAACAAAGCAAAAGAACAACGTAAATTTAAACCAACCCCAATAGTAGATTTTGTAGAGATCCTGGTGGCCTTCGTCAAAGTTGAGGAATTTAAAGAATTTTGTGTCTCCGAGATCCAGAGGAATGTCTCTCAGGAATACTTTGACAGTGAGGATGTCATTAGTCCACATCATGATATGGGTGGCGTTAAACTTGAAGATAGTCTTTGTGTAGTCCACGCTTGTGTTGCTGTGGAAGTACTAATTTAAAAACATAGCACAAAAATGTGGGTTAAATATTAAACTATTAATTGAACGATATTGAACAATATTAGCGTAATTGAACTTTGGAGGAGGATTAAAGGACTTCTGAAACTTCATATTGAACATATTCCATCTGTATCCTCCTCAATAAATGTGTTTTTATTAGTAGTTTTGGAATGAGCTAGGCCTTGCTTTCTCCGAAGAGGATTACATTCGACAAATATGTCACCAGCTTATCTGTTTTCAGCTTGACTAGGGTGCTTTGGATATGTTTTGACTTCAAGGTAAATGTTAAGCTGAGTGTTAACAATTGTATCCCATAACAAATGGATCACATTCGATGAAACGACCAACTTCATTACTACAGTAAAACCCCAATTTATCGCGGAGTTTGGGGAAAGGAAACATCCGCGGTATATCGGGGTTTGCGGTAAATCGGGGTTTTGTTTGTTTACATTATGCATGTTAAGCCCTATTTGGGGAAGGAAATGGCCGCGGTAAATTGGGGTTTGCGGTAAATCGGTGTTTTACTGTACTTAACAAAGTTAAGAACTTACACTGGTGTGGTAGCGTTGCTGATGTCAAACATTGAGGTGGTAATCTCGTAGCGAACGGTCTCTGGTCCCAGTGGCTCGTTCTTAAAGTTTAGATATGTAAAGGTTGATCGAACAGTACTGTGCAAATTAAAGCTGAATACCACGGAATTTCTGTCGGGATCGTTGCTCATTGCGTCCTCGAGGGTCATGAAGAATTGTATGCTGTACCATTTCTGAAAGAAAAATCGTTTACATTTATGCTACTCATTTTTTTTCTTATAGGAACAATGACACAAATTTCAGATAGATCACAGATGGCGAATCGTGATGATTTCCCAATACTATAAGAATAACATCTTCCTTAGATTAAAGATTAAGTCGTCTACATACATTTGGGCCGAATTCATCTGTTTCTTTAAGTTCTGGGCTAAAGATCCCATTGTCAAGCCAGATATCGAGAGTGTGAAGCCTCCTGTTCTCCCATGTCCCGTAAGGATTCTTATGATGTTTGTCAATTCGATTGACACCTGTAATGATGTAGGTGATAATTTCCATAATATAAAATCCTTAAAACAATTTTTGTAATTTTCTGGTTCACACGCAGTACGCACTCTAATTAGTGACCCTGCTTGCATGTTGCAGATTGACATGACCACTTTGCATGGTTCAATTACGATTGTGCTTACAAAAGTGCTATTCACTGACCATCTTTCTGGGCTTCGACTTGTTCTATTCTAGCTGAGGAGGAAGTTATCTGTAGTAGGATATAACACAAGGACAGTACCCATGGTCGTACCGTCGTCATATCTAAACCTGTAGTATAAAGGGGAGTTGTGGGGTTTAATTTCCACTCACAGTATCAAGCTACAAAGAGAGAGTACTATTTAGGGTCACTACACAATATCGCATAATCGAGTGGACGAGCTACAACAGCAAAAACAATCCGCCCTACACCTGTTAAATTACATACGTCTCTCCAGAACTCTCGCCGGTATGAGTTATCAAATAGATTACAAAACAAGCGGAGAAAGGTACGAATGACATTGTAAATTAGGGGTATAGCCGAACACTAGAATTAAGCTATTATGAGGGGACTGGGGACAGAGAGTTAAAGAAAGAGTTCTATAGGAGTAAGATCATGACAGGATACCTGGGGAGGGGGTAGGAACTATGGTTATGAGATTCAAAACAGCTTCTATAGTATTAAACCGTAACAGAGATCACACCATCACGGTAGCAATAAGTAGGAGGGAGGTGTGTGTTTTGTAACCTCAGGGAAGGAGAGCTAAGAGCTCCAGCCATTAGCGTGGAGCTCATTTGGTGTTGTATATATACATTATACATCCACCTCACATTACCTGTACCTTATACATACAACACATTGCACACACATCATTCAGCACATACAACACGTGTGTATGTATGTATACATGCGTACATGTACTACGTTGTACACATACAAACACATGCACATTACACACAAACTTACAAACAACATACACACAAGGGGAAGGAGTAACTGCATGCATTGAACTGAATGGTGGGTGTATGAGACACATCGGAGTAAAGTGCACACTGCACAGTACTGTTTCCCTGCGAGTAGCACTCAGTACCTTTAACTGTGCGAGTTTGTCCAATTGAGACTATGATTTTGCCTTCAGGCTGTGAAACGAATGTAATAATAATAAAATAGTAACAGTTTCAGAATCTCAGTAAGGCCAGCTTATTAAAATACACATAAGAAACGTAGCGAGCTATTGCACTATTTGTTGAATTATCATTATCATTATTTACGAACGCATTCGATAGTACTTATCGGTACTGCAGTGGTGACGCCATGCGGTTAAGATAATCAGCTCACTTTATAAAGCTAACTTACAAAGGATGCAATAACCAAGTCACTACAGAACAAGAGTGAAGCAGTGTGTTGAAGAATCACAAAACATATATTAATAAGAACCCAATCGAAAGTTGGCTGATTCAGCCACGAAACCATGAGAGGTTGCCAAAACTCTAATGACTTCCACGTTATGTGTACAAGCTTGAGCCGCAAACGGTAATACGAAACACAAAGATACAATGTATATAATGGACATCTCGAGTACAAGTAATTATATAATTAGTAATTACATAATGGCCCACAATGTGCAGCACATCATGGAGCTTGTAAGCTGTGTATAATTTAAGTGTCAACGGAGGAGAATTACAATGTGGTAATCATTTGTTATTTTAAATTAAATTGGTTATGATTTGTTGTATGCTAGAATCTAGATTAAATAAATATTTCACGATGGACCAATCACTACCAATGTTACACCAGCTGTGGGTAATAGCTTAACAAATAACCAATGAGACGACCCACTACCTCACAACTTCACTACTGTTCAAAGCAAAGCTATCAGCATTTCTTAAACCGTTTCCAGATAACCCATCTGTGAGCAATTACAAGAAAACAACAAATTTTTCAAGAAAACTAAAAATTTTTATATATATCAATTATAGCAACAATTTGAAATTCTTAAAAGTTATTCCATTACTCAGCTGAATGTACAACGGGTATGGTAACTTGGACTATTGAGTTGTTAAGTAGATTAAGATTAGTAAACATGCGCTTGCATTGTATTTATAAAAACTAGAAATTAAGCTTCGCGGTAAAATGGAGGAGCAGGCTAGTCTTGGAGAGAGCAGACCGTAAAGTTTACGCACCCACCAGGGCTACCTAGTACCTACCTACCCTAATTGTTCTTTTTGGTTTATCAGCTTGTATTGTTATATTTATGGACCCCAAGTCACCACACTAAGAAGAAGTACATAATAAAATTATAAGTTAAGTTAATGTCATCATATCAGTGTAAAAACAGTAAAAGTTAAGTTGGGGATTAAATTTCTTAATCTTACTATAAATAAAGCGAGACGATATATATATAATTTATATACAGGGTGTACCGTAGAAAGTGTGACTTTTTTCCACTTCTGTAATTTTTTACAAAATCAAACTTCATAGTTATTATTAACTAAATTTTGTTGGAAATATATTTGAATTAATGATAGTAATAAAAAAAATTGTTAATAATTAAGAATTTGCTCAAAATATCCACCCTTCTTGGCAAGTACGTATTGCAGTCGACTATTTAAATTGTTTATTGCCGAACTAATTTGAATTTTTCCAATCTTCCGCCACTATGGATGGATCCGTGCCATTTTACTGACACCACGGCATCAACTTTAACGCGACTTTCCGCAAAAACCGTAAAAGATATACAACTGGAACTTTTTTGACTGGGTCAAATGCTTTAATGGCCTTCAAATCAGCATAAAAAAATAAAAGTAGTCCAAGGAATAAGAATTTTAGTGCCCAAAATTTGGACTCCCAAGTGGTGTCATAATACGATAATAGTTTTACAGCGTAATTTAACCAAAGATACAGAAGTAGTGACGATTGCCCTAATGTAAATTCTTCGTTTGACTGGAGTATGAATAAGGCAGCAGCGATGCTGCAAGGGCGGTCGAACTATTCGATGACACAATAGAGGAATCTACGAATCTCTCCAAAATAAGTAAAATGAGTGTTAAAGGCAACAGTTCCACGGTCAAACTGTATACAACTGCAACCAGACTCAAGACTGCGTACGTATTTGGAACAACGTCTGCCCTGGAGTGAGACTGGCTCTAGTCTCTCTCTCTCTCTAGTGATTAGCCCTTAAAACATCAGATCAATATATCTGTACATAGAGCGAGTACTGCAAGGTGGCGGACAATAGAACGTGCTCTATCATCTTCTTTGTTAGGTAGTGTACATATGCTGCAGTACTATAATAATTAACATCGAGAGAAAACAACTGGCACTTCATGATTTAAAATTCAAGTAGTCTTATAACGGTGAAGTTGAACTTCTTGTTAGACTAATATACAGCTTTATAGGGTTTAATTTGTATCATTTATACTTTATCAACGAGTGCTTTAAAAATGAGTACTTTAAAAATGAGTACTTTAAAAATGATTACTTTAAAAATGAGTACATTAAAAATGAGTACATTAAAAATTTCATACTTGATTCTAAATGAAAAGCTCGAATATGCTCCACAGTCCAGACCTTCTATGTCAAGATACCTTAAAACTTTGCAGGAATGATCCTTGACAATATATATAATATTTGTGAGAGTAGGGCAACAGCTGATTTAAGGAATTTAGTATTACTGACGTCAGTGGACTCTCTATGTCTGACGACACGGCCAATTTCAACTCTTTAATTTGAATGCTCCAAGAGAGCAGATGTGAGTGGACCCCTAGCTGCTACCAACGATCATACACCCACTAATTCACTAATGACTGAGGACACTGATGATAATCATGTAATTATCATCCCACATTTCTTGTGTACTCTCTGGATGATGCAATTCATTTCTGGGATGTTATTTGATAGTTTGACTATCGTTGTCAGTTGACGATGGCGAAGTTGATCAGAACCAATGCTTCCAACAAAACTGTTCGTAACTAGATGGAAATAAAAGTACTAATTCATAAAGTCTAGCTCTAGAAGGAACTAACAATGTATCAACCACTAATCCCTTCTTCTGTTAATGCCAGCTGAAATAACCAAGTAGCAAGAGCTGATCAGGAATATGCACACAATATCCTACTTGGGCTGAGACTCTCATGAGACGACCGTACCCATGAGACAATAATAAATCTCTCCATGAACTATCTCCAACTATCTCCAACTATAGAACACTGAACAGTGAACAGATGCCACCTTCAAACAAACTAACAAGATATCCTCAGAGTTCGGACAAACCGTACCCTATGAAGTACCCACAATACCCCACCTGGTCGAACGACCTTTTGTGTGTACAATTCTGTGTGTAAACTCAGACATATGACAGCCACTACAATGGTAGTAATGTATTGGCAGTGTTACTATATAACATGAGCACACTTGTGAGTTGTGACTTGCAATGTGGCGGGGTATACTCCCTGAACAATAGTATAATGCAGATTGCAGGCCCAAGAGAGCACGAAGTGTTTATAAACGGTCTAAGAGGAATTATACGATTTTGGACTGTCAGACAGGAGCCAGACCTCAATTTGAAAGGTCTTTTCCGCACTATTTTCCTTTTTGTGTGATATGACTAATGACTATGAGCTCGGGATATGGATTGTTCAAAGAATTTTAATGGCTCAGCATCGTATTTCAGAAAATACCTCATCAAATCTATTGACGATCTATTATTATATTGGCATTGTTACTTTACTAACAGCTTTAACTCTCCAACAGTTCTATTAGTATTATAATTGTGATATGATATAAATATGTGATAATAAAATAATACTCTGAGGTAAAAGCCGCGCATGATAATTCCCGAACAACGCGAGGGAAATGACGTTGCTCGAAAAAAGTACGAAGGTACAGGGTGGGCCAAAAGTCAGTACCCATACGTTGGCCTTTATAGCTCAGTCACTGAGTGCCCAATTTAAATACTTCTTTCTGGTATGACTTAGTACCACCACTGGTTCGAGGAATTTGTCAACTCGAAAAATATTCGCGTTCATTTTTTTCAAATGGAGGTTCATTTTCACATTTATTTGATAGTTTGGATAGTCGGATCAAGCTAAATGTTATTGAATTGTGTTTGGCCATTCGAATTACGTTTGTCCTGAAAGAATTAGAACTGTAGCTTCTCAGATGACCGAGATATGAAGCATAACGAGTTTATTCATTACGTGTGATCAGGTGATTGGTTTACCTAATCACGTGATAAGGTTCCCCCGTTAACTACCCCGTTAAACATTATGGGAATTATCAAGGGTG